TAAATACAGCAATGAAAATGTCAAAATATTACAGCAATAAAGAGGCAGCAATACAATTAATAAGGAGAGCAACAGGTTAGAGATCAAATATCTGCGGGAAGAAGGAGGTCTTAACCTGGTGTCTAAATGTATCCATTGAAGATGCCAGGTGGACCTCCTTGGGAAAGGCAGTTGACAGAGAGGGCCCCTGCAGAACAGGCTTTGGCCTTGGTCGCCACCCATGACACCACTGTGTGCAGTGGCACTTGGAGGAGAACCTCTGGAGAGGGCCTTGACAATTGGGCAGAAGATGTCATTTCAGGTCCCGCTAGGAATAGAGGCACTTGCTTTACAAAGCCACCATTCATGCAAACCACAGTGCTGGGAGATTCCCTGGCCACCCTCACAGCACACCCTGCCTGGGTTCACCAGGTGACACGCCACGGCGTGCTCTCACATCCACGGATACTTGCACTTTTAGCATGGCAGTGTGTGCCGCCACAGCAGCACAACTTGCCGAGAAATTATTCCCCCGGGGCTTGTCAGCCAGGTCAGTCCAGCCTAGATTTTTTTAATACTGACCCACAGTGGCTCTCCATCATCATCATCATCATCATCATCATCATCATCATCATCATCATTTTAATTCTGGAATTGGTGGAGTAATGATCACAGGAAGTACTACCACAAACGCTTCTGCTGTGTCTGAAGCCTTTAGCAAAAATGTTGGGTGTGTATTCAACAATGTGCTATGCATTCAAGAGGTCTAGGAGCTTGGTTTTTTTTCTAACACAGTTCCTGGTTCTGCAAAACAAAGTCCATGTTCTTTGATATGCTGATCATCCAATTTCATTGCTTTCCCAACAGTGCATAAAGGGATAACTGGAAATTGATTCTAGTCTGACAACCCTAAAGATGATACACATCTTTGTTTTAAATATTAAGCAATGCTTCCCTTACTGGGCAGATGATGGTAATCCTCTGTCAGTTAGATAAGTTTCTGTTGCATTGTGTGCTGGCAATTTATCTGAGACTCAAGGAATGGGCTTGTGTGTGAGCAGTAAATAAATGTCAAAGGGCACTGCTTTGGTGACTGAAGCAGGAACTGGGAAGGGACAAGAATAAGGACACACCCAGGGGTGCTAGTTGCACACACTTTATTCCAAGGGATGGTGGTGTTCAGGCTCTTCAAGCAAACACAAAAGAGTCTTGTAGCACGTTAAAGATGAACAGTTTTATTGTAATATAGGCAATTTGTTTGCACTGAATTAGACCATCTGTTCACTGCTGCCGGTTTTGACTAGCAGGGTTTCTCTTGGGTCTCCAGCCGGGATTTCATTTCACCTGCTACCTGAGCCTTCTAACTGGAGTCGTCCAGGATTGAACTGGGGACTTCAGCAACCTGGAAAGATGCCACACACCAGACCTGGTTCCTTCTTGCCAATACTGACTGGCTGAGTTCTCCAGGAGTCAGGGAGGAATAGAATCCTGAACTAATACAAACAAATGTTTAAGTAGAAGCTCTTTGCACTTAAAGGTTGCATTGTCCAAGGTCAGTGGGAAAGTAGCAGCTGTTAAGGCCCATCTGCAATATGGCTTTTGAAGATAAGGGGGTTGCATCTTAAAAGAAGATGGAAAGATGCCATTTAACAGTGACCCGAAATGGTTTATGAGAGGCGTATAAGTGTTTTTAAACCATGTGTATGACATTGGTCTGGTATGAATATGAATTTAACTTTTCCCAGCTCATCTCTACTTTTGCACTTCCTGATTTCTGTATGTGTAACACTTCCCCCATTTGGATATTCCCCCATTTGGATGTTCCCCCATTTGGATGTTCCCCATTTCCCCATGGTTCTCTTTTCGGTGAAGGCCTATAAACATTCTCTAGGCTTATGTGCTACAGTTCCCCTGCCCTTTGGTGTCAGAGGCTGGATGGTGGTCATATGGACGGATTTCACTCTCTCAGGCATTTCAAAAGTATTTTAACTCTCCCTTCTTATTTTTTTAACAGAATATAACATAAATACAGACAGTTTAGATACAATTCATATAAATATATCAATAATATTAACATCAATAACCCAACTGATAACTAAAAAAACACAACACAAAAAAAATTGTGCGCCAGCTCCCCAGGAGACCAGTTTATATCTCCATTTTACTTCATATAATATAACAATTAACAATATATAAAATACTTTAGTTAAACCCATATCCCTTCCAAAAATTCATATATTATTGATTAGGCTTACAACCTTTCCCTTCCATCAGTACTGCTTTTACAAAATCTTCCCATATTTAATTATATTTATTTACTTTCATTACCCCTTTTTAATTTTTATTTCTGTTGTCAATTTATCATTAACAATCATATTCCATATTTCATTATACCATTCATTCCTTTGTATAACCCAGTTCTGTTTCCAATGTTTAACCATTACTAACCTAGCTGCTATTATCAGATTTAGGATCAATTCTTTCTTAACTTCATTTATATATTTTAACTGCTTGATTTTTAATATATGGAATGCTGCATTTTAAAATCATCTTTAGTTTTAGCAGCTGAGTTATCTATCTATTTTAAATGCTGTTTTTGTTGTTGTTGCTTTTAAAAGTAGTATTTTAGTGTGCTTGATTATTGGTTTTTCTTGATTTTGCTTTTATTATTTATGCCACCTTGAAAGCTTTGGCTGGAGGACAAATGAGAAAAGAAAAGAAAAATAATAAATAACATGAAACATTTACATTCATTATCATAGTCCAAGAAAAGCTGAATCTGTAAGTGCAAACCAAGGTTCTGTGGTCTTAAGACTTGTAAGCCTGCAGACTCAGAGGTTTACCTGCATTCTGTGTCTGGGGCAACACCCCACAGTGGCCACCTGCCATGCTTCCTACCAGACATCTTATCTAGCTGGCCATTTTCAGCAATCCAGCTAAAGCACCAGGGAATGGGAGGAAAGGAAGCCAAAATGGCAACAGGAATTGGCATAAATTCTTTGTCCTAACCTCCTTGCCCCTTGGCAAGCCTCCTTTTTCCTCTCTAAGGCCCACCAGCTATGAGGGGGCAGAGCAGAGGCTTGTTCTCTGGGGACCCAGGATCCTGGAGCAGCCGTTCTGAAGAAACCTGCCCCCCGCCAGGCCATGACAGGAGGCTACAGGATTGCTACTGAAGCAGATTTGACAAATGTACATTATATTGAGTGATTTCTTTTGTCATGTTTACTGTTTTGCATCTTTAATTCTAGTAGGCTGGGGGGCTGTCGTTGTCAGCCCTCAGATACAAGAAATCAGCCATGTCTCTGGCTTCTGAGACCTCAGCAGGCACAATCACCATACATCCATTTTTTTCCAGTCTGAAGGACTAGAAGCTTGGCTTTTAAAAAACAAAAAGCAAAAGCTGAGATGATCAAGCATTTTAGTGCTGTAAGCAATAAGTAGAACAGTGGTGCACACACAGTCCTACTGATGAAATGCATCTTATTTGAACATCTCCTTCCACTTTTCTAAACATGCTGCCATCCAGCTGGGTCAGAGTACAACTCCAATCATCTGCAGCTAGGTGGCTGGGAAGATGGGACTTGTGGCCCATCACAGTTGGAGGGCACTCGGTTAAGGAAAGACTGTGCTGACTGACTGGGGCTGATGGGAACTGTAATCCAAGGCAATTGATGGGAACCAGGTTGGGGAGGCTGCTCCTGTGTGTGACCTTGACCTAAAACTGCTAGACAGCGCTTGAGAGACAGACCAGAGGGATGTGAAAGCAGCAAAGTCCTGCCACTCAGTGCTTTGAGTTGAACGGGGAGGGAAGCTTCTACTTCCTGTCCTCTCTAGCTGTGGGTACATTGATGGAGGATGAGATCATCCCAAACCAACCAGGGCAGTGATACAGGCAGTAACTTGATTTGCTCCCGAGCTCTGCTGTTTTCTTTCTGTTTGGCTCTGGGAGCTGCACTCACCACAGGACTGGCCATTTGGAGCTTGGTTTTCTGCTTGGCCCATTTGCTGTGGAGTGGCAGGAAATGAGATTAAACTCCAGGGACCTCCTGCTATAAAAAGACTGGTGAGCAGTAATACTCTAAGCTCATGAAAGCTGAATGTCCCAGTCCAGCTCTGTGGGCAACACACCTTCATTGGAATCTCAGAAGATAAGGGGTTCATTTGAGAGGCTCTCCCACTACAGCAAGCAAAGGGTGGGGGATTTGGGATAGGAAGCTGCTTCAAACAGGTAGCCAGACAGTCTGATTAACTGTGGATAAGGCATGTGCCAACAGCTCTTGGCTCAGATTACTTTAAAAGGAGAGTAGGCCAATTGATGGAGGATACCAGCTACTCGTCCTGATGGTTACATGTTATCTCCAGAATTGGAGGCAGCGTGGCTCTGAGGGAAAAAGGATCTTGCCCATCTATTCTGTTTTTGGGATTTCCCAGGATAATTTGGTTGACCTTTCTGAGAAGCAGGACGCTGTACTAGACCTGCCTTTGGTCTAATCCAGCAAGGCTTTTAGGTGTCAAAGCAACCTCCCCCAACCTGGCACCCTCCATATATTTTGGACTATTGACTCCCACCGGCATCTGGCAGCATGACAAGTGATCAGGAGTGATGGGGGTTGTAGTCTGAAGGGCACCAGTTTGCTTTATCACTGAACTGTGGTCCCTTTCCAGGGATGTCTTCCATCATCTCTGGCATTGGGGACTTAATACAGAATACCAAGCAGTTTTTAATTCAGTCTAGTTTTTGACGAAAATGTTTTGGATTTTATATTTAGCTGTTTTAATTTGCACACTGGAATTTTAGACTGTGTTTTATCGTATTTGCATTTTTATTATATCTTTTGTATTTGATTAATGGTGGTGAACTGTCCAGAGAGCTCAAGCTGTTGGGAGGTATAAAAATGGGACAAATACACTGGTAAATCATCAAGTTTACTTGACAATTAATGTTGTCATGCCTAAAGGGAGAATGGCCTTTCCTGGGCAGCTATAGTTTGCACTGACTTTGTGCCCTGTGTTTCCCTCAGCTGACTTCTGTGAAGTGAATCACTGTCAGAATGGAGGTACTTGCCTCACTGGGATCGATGACTCTCCCTTTCTCTGCATCTGTCCAGAAGACTTCACTGGGATTGATTGCAATGAGACTGACAAAGGTATGTATAACTGGAGTCCAGACAGCAGACCTTCTTGTTACTTGGAAAACTGAATGTGCCACGTAGGAAGTCATGTAAATTTCTGCTTCTGAGGGCTCCGTGTGCAGTTTCGTCTGTGGCTGCTCTCATTCCTTGCTTTATATCCTCTGCTTGCACTCAGTGCTTACTCTTAGCATGCCACTGATCCCACCCCCCTTATGCCCACATGCACGTGTGCAGTTCAGCAAGTGCTCAACATTCAGGTAATGCTACTTACTTTCCTTTGGTAGCTTTTAACATTTCTATGGGATGTTCATAAGCATTCCACAACACCACAGTAGCGGAACCCCTGGCAAGAGGTGAAGAGACTCACTTCAGTCAGTGGGAGCTAGAGTTCTTATAGTCAATAGCACATTAAGCCAAGGGCCTGGCCCACTCAAGGCACCTCTCCTTTGTTTGGAGGAGGCATGGGAAGAAATGAAACTGCCTGTGTCAAAGATGATACATCGAATATATGTTGTATATATTGAATACAATATATATTATACAATAATGTATATCATTATTGAATACAATGATAATATAAGGATGCAGAACATAAACAAGCAAAAGAAAGCTTGTTTCTTATGTTTCCTTTCTCTGTGATCTGTTGGCTCCCTGAATAGGCCTAGGGAAGTTCGGTGAGGTTCCAGTGTTATGTGGGTGAGGAATGCATCAAAATTTCTCTCCAGTCTGAGAACCAAGGGAACCACTTTTTACCATGGGTTTTAGAACGTTCCCACTATTGCAGAGTCTGTCTGGGCACACAAAGGCTCCCCATCCTCCATCTACATTGGTTGCCAGTTGAAGTCCAGGCCTGCTTTAAGGTGCTCACTATAATGCCTATAGCCCTAAATAGTTTGGGACGTGGATATCTGATGTAATGTCTCATCCCATATACAATTGACCAGACCCTAAAATCATTGTTGGAGGTCCTTCTTCAGGAGCCACCTCCAAAGGATACAAGGAGGGTGGCCGCAAGGAGAAGGGCCTTCTTCGCCATGGCACCCCATCTATGGAACCAGCTCCCCAGAGAGGTACACCTGGCACCAACCCTTTTGGCTTTTAGGTGCCAGGCTAATGCCTTTTTATTCTCCAACTATTTTAATTGTTGACTTTTATTATTATTTTATATTTTATGAAGGCACTGTGAATTACTTGGTTTTATTTGATTATTGATTTTTAAATTTATTTTACTTAGTATTATTGTCTTTTTTATCTTATTGCCATTGCTGATCACTTTATGGATTGTTATTGTAATGAATTATCTATTGCTATTAATTGCTGTTGTTTATTTTACATTGTAAACCATCCCAAGAGCTGTTAGGCTAATTTGGTATGGTATAGAAGTGTTTAACTAAATAAATAATACGTATGCTGGAAGATTATTGAAAGCTGGTCTTTGCCTCAGACTGGGGGTGTAAAAAGAGTAGTCTGCTTGCTGCTAGTGTGTCACCTCCAACCTGCCCGCCAGACTCCAGGAGGACCTGAAAAAGGGAAAAACCAAAAACCAATAAGAGCAGCCTCCGTAGGACCTGCCATAGAAGCTTCATTCCCACAGTATCACCTGAACACCTGAGAAGCAGTGCTGAGGCTCCCGCCTGCTTTCTAGGAACAGCATTCCTTTGAAAGGAACCCTCCCTGACCCTGTTTTCCCATAATGCTTTTCCCCCCAAACACATTCCAAGTAACAGGCTGCAGTATCAGGAGTGGATTATAGAGGCAGCTTTTTCCACCTCTGCAAATGTGGGCAGTTCCCCTGTTCTGTCTCATTGCCCTTGCTTTGGTTACATGGCTGTGGGCATTCACCACCTGCGTTTGCTGCCAGATTCTTTGAAAAGCACATTTGACACAGCAGGATGGATGATGCCATGGGCCACCAGGCCACTGGCATCAGGTGAATGGGCCATTTCAGGGCATAGAAGTCCAGTTCTGCCAGGAAAAGGGAATCCCCAGCCCTGGTCAGTGCTAGCAAACTTCAGCTTTGGTCCCCTCATGGGCACAGCTTCAGTGTCTTTTGCATGGAAAAGTCTGTGGAAAACGGGGCAGAGGACAGTTCTGGCTGCTTACCCAACATCTGCAAGCTAGCTACCTCTGAAGCAGCGGGGCAATACGCGTCCTGTATTAGAGTTGCTGCGCTGATGTAGATGCAAAATGCTTCTTTCAAGCTGAGCCCTGCAGCAAAGCATACAGGGGTTTCAGATTTCCTGCCATTCAATTTTTCCCCACCACCCTTCAACAAGCAGAATTTTGTGCCTGCTCACTGAGCAGGCTCTGTCCTCATTTGGCTGCTTTATCCCCACTCAACTTTGTTTTTTGGGCAGTGAAATAGACATATATGCCTTATCTCCACTGCATTAAAACCATTGATTTCTCCCTTAAGTTCCATGGGTAGCTCTCTCTTTTGACCCTGGGAAAATAGATTCCCAGTGACCTATTCAGAAAGTGAGGTGGTTCGTTCTGTATGTCCACATCCCTCCTTCTTTGCTTCCTGGCCACCCCATTCTATTCCTCAGCTCACCCTGTGGTCAGAATGTTCTCTCTTGTAGTCGTTCAAGATCCCATTCCATCGCACAGGATGGAACCTGCATAGTCCCCAAATCTCAGTCACAGCTGATCTGCGGATGCTGCTCCTGTGCATGGGGTGGTGCCGTTTTGCTGATACAAACATGGGAGCACTTACACTGCAATTAAAGGCAATAATTGGTATTATGCTACAGCCTATATATTGCATTGAGTTGCTTTTCTGTATTGATGGAACGCCAATCTTCTCAACCGTTTGGAAATGATAGCTGTGCTACCGTTCCATTTGCATTTTCTTTTTTGCTGTTCTTGCATTCATAATTAGTTTGCAGATCCCCTTGCTAAAGGAAGAGTCATGTATGTTTGGCAAGTTAAGATTAAATCCTGCTGTTACAAATTACATGTCGGATAGGACTATGGTAACGATTTGGTTATTTACTTTTGCTTCTTCCTCGGTATCATTTTGTCATCAGGTCCGTGCCACCCAAATCCATGCCAGAACAATGGTGTGTGCCAGCTGGTTCCCAACCGGGGAGATGTCTTCTCAGAATTTCTCTGCAAGTGCCCCTGGGGGTATAAAGGCAAACTCTGCGAGAGCAGTGAGTGTGTGACATTTTTGGAAATGGCAGCTCTGCAAAGGGAAAGCATGGCTCTTGCTTGCTGTGAGACAAAGACCCATCCAACCCATCCTGTTTCTGATAGTGGCCTGCTAGATGCCTCTGGGGAACTCAAAAGCAGGACTGGAGCGTAGCAGCCACTTTGGCTATGAATCCATTACTTCCTATCCAGCAGCTACAGCTTGTTTTCATTTTTACTTTAGAGTAAGTGCAGCTGTCCCACCTAGATTGGGACCCTAACCTGGGATGGGGCTGGAAATTTTAACCTCCTCCCCACTATGAGCTCAGTACTGCAGAAAACTGCACCATGCTATCTCTTCTTTTTATCCAAGAATCAGCTCCCAATGTTTTCAATCTTAGGAAATCTCCACTGATTGGATTTGGGGGTCAATGAATCCATGCTTCCCTTCTTTTGTCCTTAGACATGAATGAATGTGCTCTCCAGCCGTGCAAGAATGGAGGGACCTGCGTGGATCTAAACGGTGACTATGCCTGCAAGTGTGCTTCCCCCTACCTGGGAAAGACCTGCAATATCCGTAAGTTATTCTTTTGTTGCTGCTATTATTGAATTGCTTTTACATGCCACCCTTTCCCTCTTGTGAGGAACCCAAACTGGCTTGCATAGTTCTCCTCCAACCCATTTTTATCCTCACAGCAACAACTCTGTGGGTTAGGACTGGACAAACTGCAAACTCTCAGCCCGAGGCATACAGTGAGCCCCATGGTTGAGTGGGGACTTGGACCCTGGGTCTTCCAGTTCCCAGTCCATCACTTTAACCACCACCCCACTGCTATTCATGCTGCCGGTATGGAAGGGAGAGATGAAGTGCCAATAACAGCAAGTTAGGAGAAGCATTTCAACCTATTAGAAAAAGGAAAAACCGCACAAAGTCTGAGAAAGCAGCAAACAATCATTGTCCGAAAAGAAGAGAGGTGGTACTCTTGGGGAACGCTGAATTGGGACTCCAGGCTGGTTGGGTCCGGCCCCTGTGCCCCAGGCTGAAGGCAGCTGGAGCCAATGATACTGCAGTGATACTACATCAAGGGTATGATGGGAAATTCAAATAGCAGCTTTGCCAGCTTTTGCTTGGTGATGCCAGCCAGGGCATGTGGGCAGGGGATTAAGATGGACCCAGGACAGATACTATTCCCAGGCTTTGCTGAGGCATTGCGTCCCCGGCAGCTACTCAAAGGTGCCAGGTGCCAACTGCAGCCCTGGTCAACCACACAGCCTTCTGATCCAGGCTTAATGCTCCAGGCCGAGCAAGGGTTCCTATCAGGCTTACAGGGTGTAAACCTAACTCTGAAGTGCCTGTAATGATCCAGGCAAAGTACTGTCTCAGTATCGGCATGGAATGTCCCTCGGTGGGCTTCCTGGAGGTCTGCTGGAACTTTCCCTCTTCCTCCTGGTGCATCCCAGTGGCAAAATTTGGAGCGGCTCGCTGTCCTATCCATGGGAACATGCAATTCAAATCCAGGAGAAAAAGAGGGCATTCTCTTACCACTTTCTATTTATTTATTTATAAACATGAAAGAGATTCCTTTCATAGAAGCACAACATAATTCCACGAGAAAGGAACAAGAGCAACCAAAAATGCCCAACACAAGGGGCCATTGTAATATTTTACATTTTTGGTGTAATGCTTCCTAGAAAAAGTTCTTTGTCATTTTTATCTCATGGCAGCAACTGCTCCGTGATGCAGGTCAGGCTGAGCAGCAGTGGCTTTGTGCAGGCTGGGGCTGCTCTGTAGTCAATCTGTCCTTCAGGTGTTTCAGACCAAAGCTCCCTGCACCACTGCCCATGGCTTGTGCTTGCTGAGGATGATGGGCACTGAATTCTAACACCATTTGGAGGGCTTCAGATTGGGGAAAGCTGGAATAAGGAATCTGAGGGCATTTATAATTCCCCTCTCCCCGTGCTTTTTTTGTAAAAAAAAAAAAAAAAAAAGGTGCCGGAACTCATGTCTTGGGGTCACATTTTTAGACTAAAAAAGATTTTCAATTCACCAACTTTTTTTGAAATAAAGAACTTATTTACCTTTTGCACGTAGCCAGTCACTCCACACACACAAACATAATGGTCGCCGCTGGCAGCAAGCACTCAGCGCGCGACCACATGACCAGTCCCAAGCCAAGCAGTGTCTCAAGCTGAGCAGTGCCCTCACAATCAGCGCGGACACACAAGCCGCCCGCATGCACTATTTTAATGATTTTTGCCGCCAACCTGCTACGCTCGACAGCATTTTTCACTTGGAAATCTGCGCAGCATGGCACTCATGGGCTCTTCACGCATGCGTGGAGCATGGCCACTGACCATACTGACTAAGATGGAAGGATGTTGTGGTCCATAACGTCTGGAATGCACCGCTTTGGTTAAGGCAGAATACAGGATGGCTCGTGTGGGAGAAGATTTCTCTTATTCTTTTGCTGCTTCTCTTTTCTGGACTGCATCTGCTCTGCTGCATTCCCTCATAGCCATGACCTTTTCCTCCTCTCTCCTTGCCTTCCCCCCACCAACCCCGTTGGCATACTGCAGGCTGTGGGAATGCGCTGGGCATGGAGACAGGTGCCATTGCAGACACCCAACTCGCCGCTTCTTCTGTGCATTTTGGGTTCCTTGGCGTGCAGCGCTGGGGCCCTGAGCTTGCTCGCCTCAACAACAAGGGGATCGTGAATGCTTGGACCTCCAGTAACTACGACAGAAACCCATGGATTCAGGTATGAGTGCAGGAAACAGTGGAACGATCTACATGGAGTTGCAAAATCAAAGGGTGGGGGAGGTGCAGTGGCCCCTACCAGGTCAAACTGGGAAGTCCCATAGCCCATAGACTGACACAGGACAGTCTTCTGTAGCCTGAAGCCCCCCTCCCCACCCCGCCCCGCCGGGTGTCTTGCACAGCATCTGTCATGCTGGCTGGGCATTACGGGAGTTGTCATCTTCAGTACATGGAGGGCTGGCCCACAGTATGAATTTGAAACCTTTGTCCTAGGGGCGAGATGGTGCTTGCACAGCCTCCCTGACTTTTTCGGTGGCTTTCCCTTGTCAGCCATTTCCTCACGTGGAAGTTCAACTTCAAAAGCTTCCCTGAGGGCCAGTGGAAGTTTTAAGGAAGCCTGTCTGTAGCTGAAGGCCAGTTGGGTGGATGAAACAACCCCCTTATCCCATGCTCTGCACAGATCCACCCCAGTCACTCCAGTTCAAGTTGCAAAAAGACTTCAAAAAGTCCTTAAGAGCCTTGTTGTTGCACAGGTCAAGGAAAGGAAATCCTAAGGATTATTGCCAAGCAGCAGAAGTGTTGTTAGTACATGGCCATCGAAAGCCAGGGCCCCAAATCATTCTTTTGAAGCCCTGGATCTCTGGGCAGTCATCTCCCCACCACCTCTCATCCTCCTGGATTAGCTGGCTGTTTCCCTAACCTTGATTTTTTCTGCCTGAGGTTTTTTTCTGCCTGAGGTTATTCCTGTAACCCAATATCTTCATTACCCCTCTTCATAGAAATGAATGAAAGCCATACACCCATGTGCAAATTTGGCTTTGGGGGCAGGATCCTGTGCAAATTTCTTCAGCACTTAGCATCACCCTGCCAAACAGCAATCCAGACCGAACAGTCTGACAATACTTTGATTGCCAGCCTTGGACTCTGGGAGTCTCTCAACACGGGTGCTATTTTGCAGGCCAAATCCAGTCTATCCGGGGGCTAAATTTGGCCACCTGAGTTTCCCCAAATGGTTGTGCTCCTCTTTTCATGGTTTCCCGGCTTGTGCGTATCATCTCCCATTCCAAAATTATTGAAATGGCTCTTCTAAGCCTTAGTTGCCATCAGTCAGTTCTTTCAGCTAAAAAGGTGGCATTTTTTGGTCTCCCCCCTTTTGGCTTTGGCCCTGCTCACCAGTGGAATATGGGTCCTGAGACTGGATTTGTCTCTCTGGCTGAATGAGGTCCACACTCCTGCTTGAAATGAAGCGGGTTCTAGAGTCATTAAATCACCCCGCTTAGTAAGCATGGTATGTTACAGAAGGGTGCATAATGGCTGTTATGAGGGGCTCCCTTGCTGCAGTTTTTGTACTGTGCTGCCAGTGATCTTTCAGAAGGAAACGACTGAAGGCATTCAGAGGGTGAGCCAGAGCAAGAACTGGTGGAAGGGCTGCCCTCCATGTTTGCCAGTGCCCGTTTGCTTCCACGAATCCCAGCATGTTATCGGGAAGATAAGCCAAGCCCCAAATGTCTGCTTTAAGATGGATCTTCGCTGTATTTTCCTTGTTTGTCTACTCATTCAATGTGGGTACTTCTGCCTTCCCTGGGGCAACCTTTTCTCCACTCACCAGGTAAACCTGCTGAGAAAAATGAGGTTGTCTGGTATCTCCACACAAGGGGCACGCCGTGTAGGCCGGGCCGAGTTTGTCCGGGTGTACAAAGTAGCCTACAGCCTTGATGGGCGTGAGTTCACATTCTACAAGGACGAGGAGCAAGGTCATGACAAGGTGAGTAGTGGGGCTGGTGAGAAGGAAAGCTGTGGCAAGGGCTTATACAGCTTTTCCTTTGCATTTTCAATAATACATTTGACTGTTCTGAGCGCTTTATATTGTTCTCCTTGCAACAGGTAGTGTAGAAAACCCACCATATTCCAACCTGGTACCAGCAGAGAGCACTCTAGGGCAGCTGCCAAGACTTAGTGCTCCAATCTGAACCAGCAGAGATGCCTCTCCTGGGTCTCCCCACCTTCCATCACCTCATTTAAAAAGTGGTATTATAATCAGCACTGGACGGCCACCATTTTAATTTCCCATAATCTCCCTGATATAGTTTTGCTCTGCAGCACTGTGGGAAATATAAAATTACAGTTGTGCAGTGGTGATTGGGCAACACTACCAGGAAAGCCCACGGGGGATCCACCAATTTCTGAGGAGTCCAATGGAAAGCCACCTTGAACCTGTATTTGGCCTCACCCATATTGCAGTCCAGTGACTGAACCAGAGAGATATTGTCTTGCTCAGGGCTGCCTGAGCCAGTGGCAAGTGTCAAAGCAGGAATTTTCCCTTCATAGTGCACAGGGCGATCCAGTTCATATTTACTCAGCAATAAGTCTCCCAGGCAAGTGTGCCTAGGAATGTGACCTGAGATCCAATTCAGATGTAATAAGAACCTATGCTTTATGGCATGCCTGAACTTGCTGTCTCGCTCTGGCACTCTTTTGCCAGCCAAGGTGACAGAAGTACCAGCTTCCAGTTTTAAAGCTTATCATAGTTTCCTGTGACAGTCACATTCTGAGAACTTCGGCTTGTTTAAACTCTACTTCAGCTTTCCTCCATCCTTGTGCTCTCTCTGCTAGTTGACAATTAAGGGAGTTGCAGTCCGACACGTCTGGGGGGCATTGGGTAGGTATCATGGTCCACTGAAAAGATTCCCCCTCCTCCAAGGAGGAGGAGTTAGACAGGTCCCACCATAGGACAGTGCTGAGGGCCTGCCTACATTCTTGCCTGCTCAAGTTAGTGAAAGCAAACCAAAACACGGAGCCGTGGTTTGCAGTTGGCTTAATTGTTTAAACCAGAGGTGGGCAACTCATAGCATTCCAAATGGAAAAGCTGTTCAGTGCTTTTTGTTTGTTAGTCTCCCCCCTTCCCTCCAGATGTTTTGACTGTAATTTTCAACATTGCTGGCTGTGCTGCCTGAACAGATGGGAGTTGAAGTCCAAAATACCTAGAAGGAAGGCACACAATTGGGGAATTCTGCTCTTCGTTGCAATCACCCGTGATTTCCCTTTACTCATCAGCCACATCTCAGGGACAGTCCTGTGCATGTTCAGACGGAAAAGGCCTGCAATTCCCAGCATAGGATTTCTCTGTCTGAATATGCTTAGGACTGTATCTGTAAACACCTGGCCATTATACTTAAGCAGCTGATGAAACCGAACAATTCAAGAAAGGGGCATGGAAAGGGACCCTGCTCTCCCACCCTCCTCAGTTTGCTAGACTGTTGCAGCTCCAACCCTTCCCTACCAGAGATTTTAAAAAATATCACAAATGCTCATGGTGTTCAGTTTGCTTTGTTCTAGCTGACAGGTCCTTGCTTGCTTGTAGCTTTTCAGGAGGCTGCATGGAATATTTGGGAGTCCAGGAGTGCTTTGAGTTTTTCGACAAGCACTGACTAGCAAGAAAATCAGAAGCAGACTGCCTCACTGTGTAATTGCCAGTCTTCATTTCCTCCCTTAAAATGTTTTCCTCACCCAGTCACAAGGCCGACACAAAGCCCATGAGAACTGAGTTAGCAAGCTGCACACCCACCATTCCCAACCAAGTGGCAGGTTCCAACTGTACCGATTGCTCTTGGAATAAGCCCCTTTTGGAACAATTGGAATTGGTGAAGTTGTTTGCTAAAGGGATTGATATGGTAAGAGCTGCTGACTGACTTTTTACTTGTGCACAACTGCTTAGAAGGTAAGCATGTATTGGATTGTAGCCATAATCTATCCTACTCATACTTAGAGGGAGAGATGCATTCTTTTGATAGAAAAAATATGAAGTTCGGCACCCACTGAAATCCCCAATTTTGTAATTACTTTTGCTTAGTTATGCAATTAATTTTACCTTTCTTTACTTAAGTTTTTCAAGTATTTTTTGATAAAAGTGAAGGAAAAGGAATGATGGGTTAGGAAATGAGAAGTTATCTTCCTTTTAATAGAACGTAGGTAAAGTTGTCTATTATACAATTTAATAATTGGTAAGTCCATTAGTAATCTTTCCTTTGTTGTGTCTTATTACAGCAACAGATGATATCTGAAATAGCTTCAAAAGATGGCTCTGTGCCTTTAGCACATTTGATTTTGGTTCCGTTGTTGTTCCTGTTGTTGTTGTTATTGTCATCGTCATCATCATCATCTATTAATTATTAAATATTCATCCCACCTTTTGCCTCCAAGCAGACCACATAGACCAAAACATTCTCTCCATTTTCTCTTCACGACAACCCTGTGAGGTAGATTAGGCTATGAGTCAGTGAGCTTCATGGCCCAAAGTCTCCCTGTGAGCTTCATAGCCAAATGGGACTGGAACATACCATATTGTATTGGCCTATTGTTATAATTCTAACCATTCTCCATTGAGTGCAGGGCCCTGGGCATGGATGTGGGACACCCTGTCATTATCTTCACACCAACCCTGTGAGATAAACTGCAAGGGGAAAGGTAACTGGTGCAAGGCCATGGACCACCAGGGAGTTCATTCTGATCTTGCTGACCACAACACCACCCTGTTGCTCAGATACGAGATGCTTCTTTATGAAGGGCAGAAGTGCGTACACACAGCAGACCCTTTTGCTCACGTTAAGGGCTCTTGCTCATGTTGTGTTTTGCCTCCTGCAGGTTTTCTCAGGCAACATAGAAAATGACGGCATAGTGACCAATGACTTCAGTCCTCCAATCATAGCCCAGTATATCCGCATCCACCCTGTGCTCTGTCGCAGAGCCTGCACCATGCGCTTTGAACTGACTGGCTGTGAGATGAATGGTAAATGCTTCCCATTGATCTGATCTTGCTGGGCTGGGGCGGCGCTTTCTCTTGTGTGGGTAATCAGAAGGCAGCTGTGTTCTGGTGTCCTGAGTTCAGCCTGTGGCGGGGAGAAATTTGCTTCATTCATATACGAATGTAAACTTGCCTGATTTCACACTTTTAAGCCAATCTGCAAACTGAAATACAGTCATTCACTGGAATTCACACTTTTCTGAATTTTGCAATGAAGACAATGTTGGAATATTCTCTATAATAGGAAAATGTATATATTTTCCCATTATACTGACAAAAAATGTATTTATTGCATGTGATAGGAGAAGTGTGAAATTCTTAAAGTTTGTGATTGAATGAATTTGAGACTGGAAAAATAAGACGGGAATCAGAAAATGAAATGACAAATTTATCAATTTCTTCTTTGAACAATTTCCACATTGGGAATGCTTATTTCCTTAATGGGAAAGTCAAACAGACAAAGGAGAGCAAAATGCTGACACAGGGCAACCAGATTGCCTGGGGGATTTTGTCCAGCTGAAACGCTTGGCTTTGCTGACCTATGCTTTCCACAGTCTGTTGGCACATCCTGTGAAAACGGAATTCACCTCCCATCACCAGGGGCTTTGTGGGTAATGCTGTAATGCTGTACATGCTGTAAAAAGCTAAACTCTTGTGGTCCAAATTATGCACCAAGAAAAGTTGGGTTCTGTGAGCTCTGTATAAATTATGCAAATACAGCAGGTTGATCCGAGTTGCATAGGTTTAATCTGGCGTGGGTGGAACACAGAGAAGGGAACTGGGGCCCTGCTCTAAACCACTGGGAAACCAAATGAAGCTGGAGTAATGTACAGATCTCACTTGTGATTTTATGGGTGCGGCAATTTGACCACTTCTCTATATGTTTATCATGATTCAGAATTGTCCTGGACATGCTAAACTGCATCAGGACGGAGATCCCATGGTGAGGACTGGCTTGACGTAACTATACTGCCATTGACTAACCTAAGGGCAATGGAGTCTCACTGCCTCCTTTGGACCAGGCTGGAAGGTCCCCATGTACCTGGTTGTGGGTTTCTGTCTGTCCGCTTCCCACCTTTCCTCTTTGTTGCATCAGTCATCACAGTGACACCCACTGGTGGGTTTTGGACCTGCAAAATTGTTTGCTGTTCCTTTGCCATATCTGCTGTTTTGTTGCTCCATATGCTTAACATTTCACAGAGAGGCGTCAAAAAGTCCTGCCCCAGGGAACTTATTATTTATTTATAAAATTTGTATGCTGTCCAATTACTTGTGTCTCTGGACGGCTTACAACATAGATAAAGTGACAATCCACACTGGCTGCAAATTAATAAAATACAAGAATAAAATTCAATATTAAAACATATTAAAATATTGATTAAATAAAAAGGTCTTGACCTGGTGCCGAAAAACATATAATGACGGTGCCAGGCCGACCTTTCTAGGGAGTGCATTCCATAGTCAGGGCACCACCGCAGAGAAAGCCCTCCTCTGGGTACTTTGCCTCCGAATATCTTTCATGGAGGGTTCCCGGAGGAGGGCCTCTGCTGCCGATCTCAGGGGGCGGGAGGGCAAATAGGGAAAAAGGCGATCCTTTAGGTAGCCATTTAGGGCTTTATAGGTAATAAAGGTAATAATTATAGGTAATACCATCGACCATGGTATCCCTCTGGATAGGCTAGTGGGATTGGGGGTTGGAGGCACTGCCTTGCAGTGGTTCTGCTCCTATCTCAATGGCCGATTCCAGAAGGTGGTGCTGGGGGACTATGGCTCTGCGCCATGGCACTTATGCCATGGAGTACCGCAGGGATCCATTTTGTCCCCTTTGCTATTTAACATCTACATGAAACTGCAGGGGGAGGTTATTAGGAGGTGTGGACTGCGGAATCATCAGTATGCTGATGATACCCAGCTCTACCTCTCCTTTTCTACCAATCCAGGTGAGGCAGTGGCTGTGCTGAACCGGTGCCTGGCTGAGGTAATGGGCTGGATGAGGGCCAATAAACTGAAGCTCAGTCCAGACAAGATGGAGGTCTTGTTGGTAGGCGAATTGGGCTTCAGGGAAGGGGACCTTGACCTTGTCCTGAATGGGGTTGCACTCCGCAGTTTGGGAGTGCTCCTCGACCCGGAGCTTTCATTGGAAGCTCAGGTGACAGCAGTGGCGAGGGGCACTTTCTTTCAGCTTTGGCTGATCCATCAGCTGCATCCCTACCTGGAGAATGACTGCCTGGCGACAGTGACACACACGCTGGTAACTTCCCAACTAGACTTCTGTAATGCGCTCTACGTGGGGCTGCCCTTGAAAACGGTCTGGATACTTCAGTTGGTTCAAAATAGAGCTGCCAGGCTGCGGAGAGGGACTGGGCGTTATGTTCACATGACTCCAGTCCTCCGTCAGCTTCACTGGCTTCCCATTGAAGTCCATGTCCAATTCAAGGTGTTGGTTATTACCTATAAAGCCCTTAATGGCTTGGGTCCTGGTTACCTAAAGGAGCGCTTGTGTCCATACGTGCCCTCCCCCCTTGAGCTCAGCGGGAGAGGCCCTTCTCCGGGAACCCTCCGTGAAGGACATTAGGAGGGTGAGCACCCGGAGCAGGGCTTTCTCTATGGTAGCGCCCAATCTATGGAATGCGCTCCCCAGAGAGGTCCGCCTGGTGCTGTCATTATTTGCTTTTCGGCCCCAGGCCAAGACCTTTTTATTTAAACGTCATTTTAATTGTTAACATTATTTATTGATTTTATATCTTTGGCTAGGACGTCTCCAATTATATTGTTTTGTATGGTTAATGTGTATTTATTTATTGTTGTGAGCTGCCCCGAGGCTTCGGCGAATGGGGTGGCATAGAAGCTTGCTAAATAAATAAATACATACATACATACATACATACATACATACATACATACCAGCACCTTGAATTGAGCCCAGACTTTGATGGGAAGCCAGTGGAGCTGATAGAGGACTGGGGTTATATGAGAATAATGCCCAGTCCCTGACAGCATCCTGGCAGCTCTATTTTGTAGCATCTGAAGTATCTTACAGTCTAAACTTGGACAGAGGATGAGAGGCATTTTTTTCTGGACCCCGGGGGTTCAGTAGGCCTATCCAGTCCTTTTCCGTACTGCTCATATTTAGTGAATGTGCAAAGTGTATCCTGCTGCCACTGCGCAAGTGCAGGTAGCCTCAACAGCTCTGAGATTAAGAGAAGGGACTCCCAGGTCTGTTAGTTGCAGCGGATGCAACTGATTTCATATGATTACCATTTTGGCATTTCATGGTGTGGAGATCATGCAAATGGGACTCCCTCTGAACACTGGGGTGCTAAACATCATAGATTTTTTTCTGATGATCTTAGGCTTACCTTATTTATATATGAGGTAGCTGAGTTCCCCCCTCCCCCAAACTCATTTCTTTGGGTCTTTAAAATATATCACAGAAGCTCACACTGGTGCAAGGATCTGTGCATCTTTCCAATTGCATTTCCAGTTCCAGGCTGGGAAGGATGCTCTAACTCTTTGCATTTCGATAGGGAACAACACAGTGTTGTTGGGGAAATAATTGCCTCCCAGAATTGCAAAGAAGCTCAGAAAGAATAGGGAATCCTTAGGGGATGACAGATGATGCGGGCATCTCTGCTCCTTAAAAAGTGATGGCACCATGTCCTGTGACTTGTGATTCCACAACTCCAGTGGCTGCTCCATTTCTCACCCTTCTGTCACACCCATACGTGGACCTTCCTTTGGCCAAAGGGAGAAGGCAGGAGAAGGAACAAGCTGCACTAGAAGAGACACTACAGGGGACAACAGGCTCTGATTTTTGGTAACCCCCTGCAGGGCTACAGCCCTCAGTAGCTGCTCAACCACGCCAGTCCTTCAGGCTTGCCCTGTCCAAGCTCGTCTGGCCAACATTCTGCTTGAACTCCACATGTGGATAAGGATCCTCCCTGGAACCCACTGAGACTGGGAAGGGCTGTAGCTCTTGCTTTGCTTGTATGAGTTTCAGGTTTGATTCCAGGTATTTCCAAGCCGACTAGGAAATAATCCTTCCTGAAACTCTGGACAGCTGTTGCTGCACTAGGTGGGCCAGTGGTCTGGCTCAGCATGAAACAGTTCCCTGTGTTCCTCATGAATGTATGAGAAATTCATTTTAGGTAATTTTTGATCAGGATTTATACATTTCTGTAACTTCCAGAACTGAATGCAAATCCAAATGCAAACTGTGGTCGATGTCCATGCATTTCTAAGGATGTGATAATACTCACAGAACCAGAAAAGTCGTGCTTTCAAATATGTGCCTTTGAAAAATGCATTGGAAAAATGGCATCCTTTTAAAACATATACACAATCAATAAGAGAAAAAATGATCCTTTACAAAAATGTGCATAATTGATACATACATTTAGGAAGAATATGCATGAAAATCAGCAGGGATTTTCATGCAAAAAATAAAGAGAAACCCTCCCCCCCCACCCCAGCGCACAGTCTGATACAGACATGAGTCAGAATGAGTATGGAGATGGAATTTGGAGAACCTTAGTGAACTCTAATTTGCTGATTTGCACACCCCTAGTTGCTAACAAGGGTGTTCCATTGCTCTTGCAACATGAATCAACCTGGAAAGGGTTCTCTGAATCTGGAATACTAATGAAGTGACTGCTTCAGGCAGAGGGGGAACTTTGGGTTAGGGTTAGGTCTGCTCTGCGGTGCTTCACTTACGTCTGCTCTGCGGTGCTTCACTTTCTGTTGCTGTTGAGGCCTGGCTGCTTCTGGGCTGGTCCCTTTCACTGTTATCTGTAAACCATTGTGTTACAGTGTATTTCAACATGGCAGGTTGCTCGGAGCCGCTGGGCATGAAATCCCACCTCATCTCTGACCAGCAGGTCACGGCCTCCAGTGTGTACAAGACGTGGGGCATTGACGCATTCACTTGGCATCCCCACTATGCTCGCCTTGACAGGACGGGCAAGACCAACGCCTGGGCAGCCCTCTACAACAAGGAGGACGAGTGGCTTCAGGTGGGTCTGCTAGTGCAAGGAGATGCATATGTGATGCAGGATCAGTGTGTGTGGATGACCGAATCTGGAATTTGTCGTGGTGGGACAGATCCTGTACTCTTAACAAGGAGCCATGTTGTTGTTGTTTGACCATGGTCAGAAACCCCAGTAATCTACTGCAAATCACCTAGAGACCTTCTTCCCATGTCTTTTCTAATCTTCCAGCAGCCATACCTACCTTTCCCTTTCCTTCAGACAGTGAGGTACCATCAATGCAGACTATTCCAGTTGAAGGAAAACTAGCTTGAATCAGAACAGGATGATTTACCTTGAGAAACAGTTCATCTCAGAGTCTCAAACAACTATTATTTTCAAGCACAGTATGCCTGCGATGCCCCTGCTATGAAGATAATCTTTTTTCCTCTGTGGGATTTAGTAGGTTGCATTGTCTAGTTGTAGATAGCTTGTTTATGCTTAATATCTACTACTACTAACAGGAGTTTCCAAAAGTGATCCTGGGTGACTTTGGGCCAGTCACAGACTCTCAGCCCAACCTACCTCACAGGGTTGTTGTTGTGGGGAAAAGATGGAGGAGAATGATGTAAGCTGCCTTGAGCCCTTTGTAGGAAAAAGGCAGGATATACATCCATAAATAAAATAAATAAATAAATAAATATTTTATTTGCAGTCTGAGTAAAAAAGAAGAGATCCAGGAAGAGAGAACTATCCTAGTTCTGTAGCAAGGGGGCTCCCTAAATAAATCTTATAAACAACCCAAATTATATACATATTAGTAGGCCTTTTCCCTCCTTCATGGATCACTGCCTTGTCGTGGCGAAGGGGCTTGCGTAGCTCAATGAAGCTATGAGCTATGCTGTGCAGGGTCACCCAAGACGGAC